TGTATATATATATATACATACACACACACACAACAAATGCATTATCCAGTAAACTTGTGATATTTTCTAATCATATTTGTAGCATACATGAACTTTTGGTAAAGAACGTTGTCCTAATTTGATATCGTTGGCAATCAACAAAGTTATCCGCATAGTGAGTGAGACCTCTGTAATGGGTTTTAAAACAGTTTTTTGTGTCACATTACAAGACAAAGTTATTTGCAAACATTTTATTCAATCCAATTTGCACTTCAAAACATATCAAAACCGGATACAGAGAAGAAATTACAACATTATGCACATCAAATGATCAAACCACAAATCATCACCTATGCCTAAAATGTGACTTTTCTTTAAGCAGCTTTAACATTCAACAAATCAAACACAATCGAATTTTGTTAAAATGTCAGCATTGTTCTATCAGTGCACTGTTTTTTTTCTCTTCCCAACTCAAATGTAGATCCAGCTATTGTTTGTTGTGGTAAATATCTGTTAGTTTTGAAATAAAGATAAAAACTATACAGTTCTTTTTTTTTCTCAATATAAAAAAGGTGTTTTTGACTCGAAATTTGCTTTTGATTAAATCCTAACTGATATATTTTTAAAAGTTTAAAGTGCCATTTGCATTCTTACATATTGACAAATTAGACCAACCTTAACAGAAGCCACTTTAACAATTAACACTAAAAGAAAAACGAGGATAACTTTTACCCAACTCTGATGTAAACATAGTTCCTTTTTAAAAAATAAAAGCCTTAAAATGGGGGTGGTGGGGGGATGATTATCATCCTAAAAAATATCAACTTTACTTTTGAACACATAAAAGTATAAACAAATCTGATAAGGGGCTACTTTAGAAAAGGAAACACAATCCAGATAGCTCGTGCAAGGTAATAAACATGGACACTAAGAGGGCAAAAATGAGAAACTCATTCACGCATGAGAAGAAAACAGCTTTCACASTGGGGTGAGAACAAGAATAAAAATAACAGTGATCTGCTGGTTCGGTTAAGACTGTAATGTAGCCACAAAATAAAAGTGTTTTACTTGTAAATCAGAAAAAAAAGAGGTGAAACAAAGATAAAACTGATATTTTTATACTTCTCATTCTAGATGAAAATCAGTCCAAAAACATGACCTGATAAACAGTTTAATGAAGCTACAGAAACCTGCAACATCAAACAAGTCCAAATGCACTGAATTAGAAAGGGTTGAGGTATACTAACTATCAGTTAGGGCGGCTGTGGTCGCAGGACAGTTGTCTTGGGACCAAAAAGTCCTTGAGCAAGACACAGTCCCTAAGCTCTCACTGTGAGGGGCACAAATTTCATCATCGCACGGGAACATGCATTGATGACATTATTATTGTCATAAAATGCTGCTTGTAATGGTTATAACTGGTGTGTAAAGGTATGGATATTGCAGGTGTAATGTTTTAGCATTAAATGCTRCTTAGTAATGTCATTAATTATCAAAGACGGCTCAGGTTAAGCAACAGGAATGTTYTTTTTGGTCCTCTGTTAGGAAAGCCCTGTATGTTGAGTCCTCTGGGTAGAAAAGATTTTTTGAAGCCCACTAAATGCCTGTTAGTTTTTGTTGTTTCCTATTGCTCAGCCTACAAAGTAAAAACTCTTAATAATAAGAGATGAAGAGTACAAAATATGATTTTAAAAAAGGGGGAAATGAAATACTTCACATTGATTTACTGATGCTTACCAGAGGCAAAGCTGCTGGGACCTAAAATCATCTCACACAAGCATTCACGCTCATTATTGTCACATACTGCCCAATAAACAACACAATCCTAACAGCACACACACATTTATACTTCACTGGGGTTTACCAAGCAGGCTGGATAAGAAGTTAGACCCTTGGCTTTCGCCCCTCCTAGAACCCCCTCCTCCTCCTCCAGCAGGATCCATCTGGTTCAGTTCAGACTGATCCAGCATTTCAAAGTCCTCTGCGTCCAAGTCCGTGTCAAACTCGGAGCTGGACTGTTTGCGGTAGCTTCGGTGACCCCCAGCTTTGGGGTGGCTCTGTTTGCGCTGGGTGGTGGCGGGAGGCCGGGGTTGCACTGCTCCCGCCAGCGCCGCCTGGATCATGCTGCTGGCAAAGACCCCAGCCAACTCCCCGGTGAGCGAAGAGGGTGGGAGGCTGCTGAGAGAGCCGAGGGACAGTTCTGGATCCAGGTCATCCTGATCAGAGTCCAGATGGGCATCCACGTCCAGCACCGAAGCCCGGTGACTACCGAGCCCAGACGGGCCCAGGCTGGGGAGCCCAATGCTCGTGTCGTCGTCGTCGTCCATCAGAGTGGCATCAGGGTTAATGGACGGGAAGTCTGGGAGGTCTTGAGCAAAGGATTCCTCAGCATCACTGTGTCTGTCAAGATCTGAGCAACATTACAGACAGGAAGAAACAATCAGTAAGAGGAGAGAGCAACGCAACAAATAAGGATAAAAGGATTCAACCTTACCCTCAGAGCCCTCTGTGAGCGGGGTCTGACCACGTGATAGGTTAAACGTCCCATTGTCAGTGTAGGAAACCTCAGCATCAGAGTGCTCAGAGTCTGTCAACGCAAGCTCCTTTGCAACAACAGCATCGTCAAACTGGAGGAGAAACCCCAAAGAAATGATGAAATATCTTTAAACTGCACCAMTTTAGTTTTATTTTGTTAGAACCAGTGACGACCTTTAAAGGTTTCCTTTTACTCTGTAATCAAGAGAAATTTTCCGTTTGTTTTATTTTCGTTCTATTTGCTCTCAAACTTGCACAGTAAATGTACACATCTTTTCTAAAGTTCATAACCTCAACAGGAAGTGTGTGCTACTGTGATAAAGGACTCAGCAGCAAGTAGTAGAAGGAAACAGTTTGTCTATTTCGTTAACGTCATGCTTTAAATCTAAAACATCTTACACTTTCTAAGAATTAAAACAGCGTCTCGTAGTACGTCTAAAGAAGACCTACTTGCAGTACTGTATATTTATTGCAGTCAAGCTGAGATATGTCTGTTCTCACACACGTCTTACCAGCTTAAATAACTTTAAACAGTAAGAAACTTTAGGTGAACGGACTTACAGTTGGGCAGAAAGCAGCTAACTCCTCCTCACTGTCGCTGGCTTCACCTGTGCCTGAACCACGTAGGGGCATTCGCAGAACTACAAAGTGCAACAACAGACACAAAAAATGACTACTGCTGTTATTCTATATTATATATATAACCACGTTAAACTAACTTCAAATTTAAAAAATGATAAGTTCTGTTCAAGTTCCTATTAAACCATTTTAGCAAATCATTTAGACAAATGACTCATATCTAAGAGCATGTTTTGCTTTGTATTAAAATAGATAATTTTTTTGAGACACTGAACAGCTGCAYGATTCAGTCTAACTATAATACTCAAATATAGATATGTAAATTAGAATTAATATATTTTAGATTCAAAGAAGAATTAAATAATCTGTGAAGGTCTTCACAGAGAGCAAGAAAAAAACGTGTTTAAAATGAGTGAACGTGCACTTTCCTGCCACTAGAGGGCAGCGAAGCATTAAAAATGACAAAAAAGAACAGCATGTCTCCTAGTTGCTGCAAAGAACTGACTAAATGTTAAACGACAGAAGAATGACCTAATGTTAAATAGGTACTATTATGGTGAATAACTTACACTGATTATCAATAGGCTTTGACATCATGTATCCACGAACGCTGAAGTCCAGCCGCTGCAGGACTGGTTCCAGCTTCCCGCACACATTCTGAAAAACCCTGTGATAGGCAGCCAGCGGGGCCAGAAGAGTGGCCAACACTAGGTTAACAAAGACAAAGAAAAGAACACCAGTCAGTGCTAAAAATATATATTTTTTTAAAATCAAAAAACGTATTGGTTTAGATTCACAGCATATTTAATCATGTCGCTGTGGACACAAAGCCACATGTCTGGGACTGGTCGTCCCGGCTGAGCTCTGCAGCCTGCAACTGGTTGAAGGTTAGGAGATTCGCTTCCTGCCTGGCTCCTTCGCTCTCATCTTGTGTGTCTCCATCCCTGCTTTAATCACCTCACAGAGTGGACTCTGGTACTGTGGGGCTCCACTTATCTGGTTTCATCACCCATGCATGTTTTAACAGTCTAGTCAGGCTGAGTTTCCCTGCCGACACGACAGGCCCTATYAAAGGGTGTGGATCTGTAGTTAGGACTGGTCCAACTGCTGGGACTCACGAGCAGAATAGGAGAGCACCAGTCCGGGAATGTAGTTTCCAATCAAAGCCAAACAGGAGAAAATGCCGCAGGTCAGGACGCAGAACTGTCACAGAACAATAAGACACACGTGGTTAAAGGTCAGAAACAACACGACACGCTGACAGGGGAGCATGGAAACAGATTCTACAATTTAATGGATTAATAATTTGCAGGATATGTCCTGAACGGTGAGTTTTTTTTTATTTTTATAGTACATTATTTGGTCCTCACGTTGCCGGGGTTTTGTCGTTTGAATTCCARCATCCTGGATTTGAGAACCAGCGCACTGACCCAGGCCTCTGCGAGATGGTGGCACAGTTCAGGTACGCTGAGCACACCGGGCTGCACCAGACCCCAGCTGGACAAACACAAAACAGTTAACTTATCTGTTGTATTAGACAATGTATAGTTACAGTCTTCAGTTACAAACCTCTCATTTTCTGATTCATCCGGCTTTCTCACTGTGGAGAGAAGTCATCAATAAGTTTATTAGAAACAGTTTGAAACAACACATATAATAATAATAATAGTTATTATTATTATTTAAGTACACAGTGTGGAGCTGCGTATTGGTGGTACATCTAGTCAGGAAATTAAAGCACATATCTTGAAACTGAAGTGTGTCAGTTGAAATAAAGTGTAAAAAACCTCTAATCTCGGGCCAAATCTTATTCCTCCATGTGTCAACAAACACAAGCACAGCYAGGCCAGAAGCCAGCAGGAACAGCAGACGCAGCGACGTCAGAGCAAAGAACCTGAAAAAGAAAAAAAAGGAAAACAAAAACTTAATCTTCTGCCTGTTTCTTTAGAAATAAAAAAAATGTTAAAATAATTTGACAGCTTTGTGCGGAGAAGTGACTTCGTGTTTCATTTTAAAAAATGAGGAAAGTTCTCCCGTCTGTGTGTCGCATCCTGTCAAAATTACTAACATATTTACTCTTATAGGCATGGAAAGGTGATGATTCAGGTAAGCATTGATTATTAAACTAATCCGTTATCAGTGGAAAAGATACAGTTGGTACATTCAAACACTTTTTTTRCCCACACCTTGAAGTCTCAAAAATCTCAGTCTCTCACTGCTGCTCCAGTTTAAGATCACAAGATTTGAACATTTGTTGACGACAACAACGCTGCAAATTTCTGCCAACGCGGAGATTACCCTAACCCAGAATTTACTGGCAGGTCAAAAGGGTATTGGTATTGAGGTTAGCGGTGACGTTCGCTGCTACAATGCAAACAAAATGTGCAAATTCCTCTGTGGTGCCTGGGTTTGGGCAATGAAATATCAAAACTATTCACAATGATTTAAGCTCTAATAAAGCACATAATCTGTGGTTTTATAGAAAATTAGCTAAACAGAAACACATCAATAATTGTGGTGATATGTAAATTGAGCAATAGATAATCCATGATGCTGCACTAAGTTTTTGGAATCAACAGTTAAAATTACTCACTGCAATGGATAAAATTAAACATAAAGATCATTCTAACAAACACTGCAGCTTGAAAGAGTTTACGCCAAGTGCTTTCCACATATTTAGAAATGCACACTCAATGTAAACAAAGCTGAATCTGTGAAAAATCATGTGGAAGCTTGAGTAATGCAATTGGATTAAGGAAAAGCCTCATCCCAGCCTGCTTACAAAACATGTTCTTTTATCTGAACATAAAATAATCACAGTGACAAGAGATTTGAGCGAAAGCSCCACAAATAAAACCCACCAGAACACAACGTTGACAACAACGTAGAGAAGGACACTGTGGAGGGGTCTTTCCCACACCAGGACGGACTGCAGGTAGGTGAGAACGGGCTCGTAGGGGCCCAACTTGGACAGAAGAGCGGCTCTGACAGCCCGAACCTGACCGTCTCTCTCACTGGAGCACGACCGACTTCGCAGGCAGACACCGGAACCCAGCTTGGCCGAGCTTTCCTCAGTGAATGCCGCTTCTGTCGCTCCAGTGTGCGCCATCTTAATGTTGACAGTGAACCTGTAAAATAAAGATACAAGTGGAAACAGATAAACAGCTTATAAGAGGGGGGGGAACCACAGCGGTCACAACACCACCTCTCTGCTAACCACGACAGACCAACAGCGAGACACGCTAGCTAAAATACAGTATACACAACAATTATTGGTTTTGCAACGTTTAAGTAAACATGTTATCGAACACAATGTTAAGAACATTTTTTAAATAAGTTGACGCTTACTATATAACCATTTTTGTCCGAAAAATATCTCTTCAAAACCTGTCAATATGGCGTATTCTGTTTGTCCGACTGGTGCACGGACCAATCAAAACCCTTAAAATCCACTGCGTCATGGTGCGTTCAAGAACATGAAAACATATTTGTAAAATGTGTTTGCCTTACAGATAAATACGACCAATACTGTCGGATTAAAATAACATTAAAAAAATTGTGAGGATTTATATGATGCAAATATAACTGTATTTTCTCTATATAAATCCTCATAAAAATCCTAATAGTTCATCTAGTGATTATCCTGCGATTTCGCTTGAAGTTACTCATTCCACACCACTAGGTGGCAGCACGCAAATCAAACAAAGCGATAAAGCGTCAGATTGACTSTGATGTCTGCTCCATTTTAATGCCAGCGTACTTAAGTGGTGACACCGTTTCGCCTCTTGACGTGGCGTGTGTTCGGCTCATTCGCCGGTAATAAAAAAACGGAGCTAACCCAATAACAAGCGGGAAGGAGCGGGTCTGTGGTGGTTCAGTAATCGTAGCATCGCATTTCTCTCATAATAGAATATTTAGCTAGTCTGTCAGCTAGCTAAATAAGGATCTAAGAGACAACATGCCGCGAGAAATAATAACGCTTCAGCTCGGACAGTGTGGAAATCAAAGTACGTAGCTAACCCATCTCTAATGATGTTATTGTACCCTAGCTAATTTTGCTAACGGATTCTCCATAGAGATACGAGTAAACGTTAGCTCCCTGCATAGTTAGCAGCTCCTTTATGTGTTTCCTCCCCTTTAAGCATTAACTTAATGCTAAATGATTAAGCAGCAATTTGGAAAGTTAAGTGCCGTTTTATCCACACATTTTTGCCTTTTTGTTTTGCAGTTGGTTTTGAGTTTTGGAAGCAGCTGTGTGCAGAACATGGCATCAGCCCGGAAGGCATCGTGGAGGAGTTTGCAACTGAAGGGACAGACAGAAAAGACGTGTTCTTCTATCAGGTAGGAGGAGCAGCAATAATAATAATTATCTTTATTTATGAATGTTTGAGAGACGGGACATTCCCACGTAGATCAAAGTTCTACCTTTTTGACTAAAGATACAGACATTTCCTCAGAATATCAATGATAACCTTAGAATAGCAATTGTTGCCAACTGTCATGTAGGAAGTCTAATAATAATAATAATAACATCATAATATAAATATACAGTGTGTATTTACAATTAAAAAATAATAGACTACAGAAGAAAAAAATTGTCAGGCCTAAAAAAACTATTATGTGCTATAGATAAACAACTTCTGTAAAGACCTGAAACAAAACAGAGTACAAAGATATTGCRGCTGGATCATTAGTCTCAGTGTCTTTTATTTTCTAATGCCTATAGATTATTATTTTTTGGTTGGTAGGTATACATATACTGTGAAAAATACACATTTATCAAAAAAGAAAAACAAATATCTTGGCCCTCCTAATTTCTAAAGATTGGTGCTGGCCAAAGAAAGACTCATATTGGCTGACCTTTCATATTTTACTATTATAAGACAAAGCCAAACAAACTGAGCAGTATGCTGTAACAAAGCATTTGGTGTATGATGCAGCGACATRATAGTCTGATTAGTACGACTGCTTAGACTTAGGTGTTTATAAAAATWGTTTCGTTCATTTCTACTTGTCTTTTCTTGAGTGTTGCACACATCTTATGTTAGAGATACTACAATGTAAGCAGAGGGATCCAGGATGTGCGAGTGAAGAAATAGTATGACAGAAATATGTGCTTGTGAAACTGGCCACCATTTCTTGCCACTAGATGGCATCTTTGTAATGTGAACGATGTGGGACGACTGATCAGGCCCCATAGAGACAACGATTGACCATTTACTAATTACCACTTTAAATTCCCACTAATTTCTGGTTGTTAATCAAACTTCACAGGCTGATGATGAGCATTACATCCCTCGTGCGGTTCTTCTAGACCTCGAACCGCGTGTGATTCACTCCATCCTGAACTCTCCTTATGCAAACCTGTACAACCCAGAAAACATCTACCTGTCCGAGCATGGTGGAGGTGCTGGGAACAACTGGGCCAGTGGATATTCTCAGGTTATTGCCAGAAAACAAATGATCTCAGCTCCATGTCATCAGTCACAACTGAAACTAACACTGTTTTATGTTTATTTTAACCCTAGGGCAAGAAAATTCAGGAGGACATCTTTGACATCATTGATCGAGAGGCAGATGGCAGCGACAGTTTGGAGGTAAGTTTCTCACATTCAGACTTCTRGTTTGGGACTGGGGTTACTCAGTTTGTCGCAGTGTTAACATTTTAAAAGCTGATTTAAATGTTAGACAGTACTGTTGTATAGCAATAGTATATTGAATTAGCTGACTGATTCAGCCCGTTTGCAAGCAGCTTTTTCACTACAAGCCTGAACTCAAACAGAGAAAAGTAGTAAGTTAATGGTAACAATTATAACAATCCAGCCTGTGTGATTGTTGTGTGTGTGTTTTTTTTTAATGTGGTCATTTTGAATCACTCTTTTATGTCTCTTTGATCTTTTTTTTAGTCTATTAGAGGTCATTTTCCGTCTCTCTCTGCTGTACATGTTTATCCGTTTGCGGTTGATGTAAGTCTTTGTTGTTGTTGCATTTTTATGGATCATTTCTGCCTCTTTTCTAGTGGTATAGTTGGCATCTTTTTGTTTTCATTTGTAGTCATTTTTGTCGCTGTGATCATTTTCAGCGCCTTCGTTGTTATTTCTGAGTCTTTTTGTGGCATTATTGTAGGTTTAGCTCAAGCAAACAGAATCCCTACCCAGTCTTTAAAAATGTGGAAAAAGTATCGAGTTTGGTTTTAGTATTTTTTACTTATTATTATTATTATTATTTTGGTCTGGATAAGTACAGAAAAAAGAAAACGGTATGAAAAAGATTTGCGTTTCGAGACTCTTTTTCTGAACTCAGTGGTGTTTATGGCAGCCTATTAACCATGTAACACATGGTTAACACGTGCACGATAGCTCAGAGGTTAGCACTGATGCCTCGTAACAAGAAGGTCCTGGGTTCGATCCCCGGTCAGACCTGGAGTCTTTCTATTTCTCCTATTGCTTACGTGGGTTTTCTCCTCGTAGTTTCCTCCCACAGACCACAGGGTTCCTGCAGATCCTCAAAAAGTCTTGAAAGTCATTGAATTCATCAATCCAAAAATAAGGCCTTAATTAGCCTTAAAATGTCTTAAATCAATCTTTCAGAGGTCTTAAAAATGTGAACACGTTGTAAATAGGATGATTGTAATTCAGCTCAAATATTAAAATAATTGGTAACATTTATTT